TTTTACAAGTTTGGTAATTCTATGCACCGTGCAACTAACTTGCATGAGTTGACCAAATGTAACTCATTTCTGAACTGAACCATTGCACTTATCTATTGTTTTCTAGATCATGCTGTATTTAATATAGCTTTATCAAGTGAATGAGGTAAGAAAAATCGAACTGCGTTTTATGATGTATATTGTTGCGATTTTAGCTTTCTTCGGATAATACTAACTCTGTCTCAGGCTGCAAGTGTCGTATCTTCAAACATACAGCCTCTTCACATGTTAACAATATTGGTCAGTTTTTATATGCATCTTCTGCAATCATATCTATAACACACAAGTAATAATATTAATGGTACTAATAATGTTAATCTTCCTTACATGCGACAGAAATATGTTGAATAAAAATTTGGTAATGATGAGAAACTTGCATGGGCTCGGTTCCATATCGAAAAGGGATTTCTTGGTAAAGTTCTTTAAACTGTTCTGTGCTTGTGTGTTTTTATTTTATTATTACTATAAATTTTATTACTGAAAAGAACCCGAAATTCTTAAGCAGCTCTTGAAAATCTCCTGAAGTGTTATGCAGACACATACGCCACTGGAGAAGTAGTTCAAATGGTAATATAATTATTTTTTGCTTTTCTAAACTTACTAATTTGTCAAATTGAGTTTGCATTTATAGTCCCCGAGTTAATTAGATCTTGGAAGGTAATGTAGGTAAGGTAATTTTGCCTATGAGCAACTTTCGCAGTTCATGTTAATTTGCTACAGCCCGAAACTAGACTTGAAATTACATAGCCGTTTAGTCAAATTGACAAGCTTATATCTTGAGCTAGTCAAAATCAGCCGGCTGCAAATTTTTTTAAAAAATAGTGAAATTATTTGAATTGCATGTCTATAAAAAAATAGTGAAATTATTTTAAATGCAGGCTGATGTATTTTTGGCCCCTCAAATTGCAGTAGCTACAAAGAGATTTAGCATTGATATGGTAATCTCTCCTGATTTTTTTGTTAACGTGTTCTTTTTTACCATCATGCCCGACTGCTCAAGTTAATTCATCACTGCTTAAATTATATTGCAAACGCGAAATAGTCGATTGATTATTTATTTGATCCACAGTCGGATTTTCCCACTTTGCGTGCAATATATGAGTCTTGCAAAGATTTGCCAGAATTTCAAGCTTCGTTGCCAGGTAGACAACCGGATGCCATGCAATGAAGTCGCAAATGGATGCATTAATTTGGAGAAAAATGAAAAAATTAAAGCCATTGCAGTGGAGGCGTTCTATGCATAGCTAATATAAAGTCAAATGTATGTTATTTGAATGTGTGTTTTATCAGCTAGCAAAATTGATGGCTCTCATAAGCTAGCTACAATAGGTCTTGAATATGCAATTATACATTTAAACATATGCTACAGAGAAAAAATGATTTTCAAAGGTATTTCCTTTGATATTTGTGGGCACATTTTACAGAGTATAAGACGACTCGCGAGTTGAGAACATCACACGTGTTTTAGAGATTTTAGAATATTCCAAAACATCGTAACTTTTTCTCAAAAGAGAGGAGAAAATAAATCTCACAAGCAAGTTAATTATGTCACTACCTTTAAAATTTGTATCCCACGTTAATAAAGTAAACTAAAAGTATGGGGAGATTATGAATATAAAGATGAATGAAATTAGTGTGATTAATCTTTGTTGTGATCAATCTTATAGGAACTTCATTGTATTTCAAACTTGAAATTTGCATCCAACATAAACAAATGAAACTGAGAATTTAAGGGGGAAAGTATGATGCAAAGTTGAATAAAATTATAGTGGTAGTGTAAAATGATTTCAACCCGGTCTAACGTTTTTAATCCGTTCTTGAATCGGTGAAATGACCTGCAAAACAACAACGAGGTTGTCCCTGCATAGAAGCGAATCAATAAACATGGATGAAGATGAACTGTAGATATACAAGTCTAAAATATTCAGTGTGTAGAGAGATAATGATCATTTTCCAAACTTACACAACATCTGCCAACACANAGAAGAAAAAAAGTACCAACTCTTTAATTAACCTTATCACTTTTTTTTGGATAACTTGTCTTGTTTTTTAAACAAATAGAATTTAATCATGTTATCTTTGATCAATTATAATTCAAACAAAAATACACAAGTTTACGTAAATAACTATTGCATATACAAAATCTATGACATTAAAATAATAAATCAATAAGTTATTTGTTAAATTGATATATGAAATTGTAAATTATTGATTGCATATCACACATATTCTTATCAAATACTAAAAATCATGAATTTTGTAAGATTTAAATAGTACATCCATATTAAATAGATATAGGTTACAAAGAATAGCATTTTAATATTACATCGTTTAGCATACACTAGCGCGTGGCCCGTGCGATGCACGGAAAAATAATATTACGATTGTATTATAAATAAAATATATAAATAACATTAATCACGATTTATCTATTGTTTTTAAATTAAACCGAGTTAGACACAATCCGACCGGATGGACCGAGAACAGTTTATAACTAATCTAGTTCGCTTGAATAAAATATTTTCTATCGAATCCGTCAACACCAGTCGGTTCGACTGGTAGAATCGATACGATTTCTAGATAAAATTTGTTACATTTAAAATTATTTTAAATAAAATAATATATTTAAAAAATGCAGATTTATAAATTATCTATCAATTAGTTTAAACATTTGAATTTATAAATTATTTAGATATTTAAGTAACACAGTTTATTTAAAGTTATTACAAAAAATGCTATGTATATTTATTAAAATTTTTATAAATTAAAATCTGAACAAACCACAAATGATTTAATAAAAAACTTGATCGTTTCGATGAAGGTCCGATTCTGAAAAATGAATAGTATATTAAGATTATAAATTATATACCGAAAGATGAATTAATTATTTTTACTTTATGCATATTAGTAAAAAATAAACATAGTAATTTTCAAAAAATTAAAATCAGTGTTCTAAAATTCGCTAGGCGCCCGTTAGGCGCTCGACCAGCGCCTAGCGCCTAGAGCGCCTAGTCGGGGCCTAGGCGGCGCCTAGTCGAGGCCCAAAAATCAATATTAAATACCTTATTTTTTATTTATTTTAACTACCTACAAAATAAAACTATCTCAACTTATAATAAATTCACACACCAAAGTCCAAATAATAATACTAATACATATTAAAGAAAACATGGGAACAAAATAATGTAATTAGTATTTAAAAAAAATAAAAAAAATAAAAAAAAAACTGAAAAATTGCCGCCGAGCCCGCCTAGGAGCGCCTAGATCCGCCTACGCCCGCCTAGACGCCGCCTAACCGCCTGGCCGCCGAGTCCGCCGAGTAGCGCCTAGGGCCGCCTAGACCCGCCTAGGCGCCGCCTAGCCGCCTGGCCGATTTTTTTTGCCGATTTGTACAAATCGGAGGCGCCCGGGCACCGCCTAGCGCCTAGGCGCCGCCTAGGCCGATTTTTAGAACAGTGATTAAAATTAACATATTGATTATGCAATTTAAAGAATATTTTTAGCGTTCAATATTTTTTTTAAAGGAACAAATATAAAGATCGAGATTCTAAAATTTTTGTTATTTTCAATTGAGATTTCATAAATATAAGGACCGATATTTTAATGTTATTCGTTGTATCTAAAAAAATAAAAATAAAACACGCACACATAATAAATCTTAGCCGAAATTTTTAAATAAGAAAATGAACTAAAGCCCGAAATTTAAGGTAACATTTAATGTTGTATGAGTTTTAAAGAAAAATAAAAAAAAAATAATAAAACTTACTATTTATAGGGTGCATTAAATTTTGACCTTTTTTTAATACTATTTTTGGTAAATGGTTACTTTTATTTTTTTTTTATATATATATATATAGATAGATAGATAGATTATATAATTTTTACTATGATTGTTCTGTGCATCCAAGAATACACTAGTTACAAATAAGTAACTTTCCCAATTAGAGATGTAGAAATCTTGACAAAATGTAGAGTTAGCTCTGAATAGGGTTAGATAATTAGTATAGTAATTATGAAGTAAATAGGGATTACAAATGTGCTTTTGACCAAACAAAAAGTTATTTATGACTAGGGTTAGATAATGAATACTGTTAGGAAGTTGGATATAGAGGTTACATTGGTTAAATGAATCAATATTTTCATATTTTTCTAATAAACACATATTTTAAAAATATCATATTAGAAAAACAATATAAATAAAAGAACGATATTATGTATGCATATTTGTACAATGATGTAATAAAATCCTTCAACCACTCCTCCATTTTGTAAGGAAGAATTAATGAACAACATTAAGACCTTGTCCTCTTAATTCGCCTAACCATAAAGACATCAAATATTACAAATTCTCTTTCTCTTTCTCTCTCTCAAAATTCTCAACTCTCGACATATTCCATTTCCCTTCTGCAGAACACAACAATCTCCATCTCCCTCTCTCTATATTTCACACACAGAACATATAGAGAGAGAAAATAAAACAAAAGTAGNAAAAAAAAAAAAAAAAAAGAAGAAAATGTTGCCATTTGCAAGCCTTGAAGAAGCAGAAGTTTCCCTTGGAAGAAATTTGACATTCGCAGAGGTACAATGGTTCAAATATTCGGCCCAAAAAACAGATTATTTTCTGTATTGCCACAACACAATCTTCTTGTTCATTTTCTACACGGTGCTGCCATTGCCGTACGTGGTTTTGGAGCTCACGCGCTCCAAAAAGATTGATAAATACAAAATTCAACCCAAAACCAAGAACACGTTGTGGGACATGATGGATTGTTACATAAAAGTCCTCAAGACCTTCGTTATTGCTGTGGTGCCCCTCCAAGTCTTTTCCTTTCCGGTCATTCAGGTACGGGATTAATGATTTAATATGTTTCTGTTTATGTCAAAGTTTCAATCCATGTTTGGTTTTTGTTGCTGTATGTTTTTTTGGGTGCATGTCACTTCGGTTTTCACAAAAATGGAGAACTTTTTGGGGAAAAAAATAAAGAGAAAAAAAAGTATATGATCATGTATTTTGTTTCAGAACTCATGATATTAAATATTAGTATATAATAAAANTTGGAGATGTTAAATGGTCCTGGGTCCGACGGGCCGACCCGTTTAGCCCGGAAAAAAAAAAGGGTTAGGGCCTTTTATTACCAGCCCGTTTAAATTCGTGCTTTTTAGGCCCGAACCGTTTAGTTCGAAGCCCGTTAGGGCTAGCCCGTAAACTGCTAGGGCTAGCCCGTTAAACTTGGGCTGGGTGGTGTATATGTTTTTAGAAAGGTAAGTACTATGTCTCATCCTTGTATATTACAAGTTTGCTATTCTACTTCGCATGTAATTATGAGTTATAATATATTATTATTACTATTTTGATAGATAATTATTAACAAATTTTATTCTATTTCACAGCAAAATATCTAAGCCAATCAGAACAGCTAATAAAAAACAAATGAGACAAAAATCTAACACATAGAATATAGTGATAGAATATATATTCACCAATATATTATATTGTGAAAATTCCCGAAGCGTACCAAATAACTAGTCAAATGGTAGTTATAAGTAATAGTTCGAACATTTTTTTCTATTGAGAAACAATATGTTATTTAAGAGTTTGTAATGTGTGTTCATATATGAAGTGTAGTTGTATATATATAGTGGTAAATAGTAAATAACCGTTGAAAAAAACCGTTAACTAGGTGTTGTAATTTATTATTATTATTATTATTATTATTATTATTATTATTATTATTATTATTATTATTATTGTTGTTATAGTCCGTATAGCCCGTTTAGCCCGAAGCCTGCTAAGTTTAGGGTTAGGTCCTTTTTTTGGTAGCCCGTTTAAATCCGGGCATTTTAGGCCCAGATCGTTTAGCCCGAAGCGGGCTTCGGGCTAGCTCGAAACCGCTAGAGCTAGCCCGTTTAACATCTCTAGTGTGATTGATATAAATTCATCTAGTCAAAATTCAAATTTAACTCAACTTCAACTTAAACTCATTATTCTCAATTTTATCCATATAACTAAATAATATTAATCAATCATTCTTACACATTACATCAACTTTATTTCACTATTCATCAACTCACATAATTTTAACTAATCATCATTTCATATCATAGCTCTCATACTTTTACATCAAATCAACTTTAATTATTTTATTTTAAGTATTATTTTAATATAAGCTTCAATTCCCACTAACAACTAATCATACCAATTTTTTCAAAATTAACTATATTTGACAAAAACAATTCATAAAAAACCAATCAAATCCATAACAAAATGTCCCCTTTATGAGATTGGCTATTTTTTTTAAAGAAAAAAAGCCAAACAATGGTATGAAATTTGGGATCTTTATCAGTTTTAATTCATGTCTTCTATCATTGAAATCTAATGCATAATCATCAGGTCCTTGAAATATTATGACATATTTTTGTAGCTGGTTTTTTAGTTTCTCCTTGAATCTTATCATTCGCTGATATATCATTCTCAAATTGTTGCAGATGATTGGAATAAGGACAAGTTTGCCCCTACCGTCAGGCTCCGAAATTTTCTGGCAAATAGTGACATACTTTTTTGTGGAGGACTATGCAAATTACTGGATGCACAGATTCCTACACCAAAAATGGGGCTACGAAAACATCCACAGAGTCCACCACGAGTACACGGCCCCAATTGGGTTTGCAGCCCCTTACGCCCATTGGGCCGAGGTCATAATCCTGGGCCTGGCCTCCTTTCTTGGCCCACTTATTGCTCCAGGCCATATGATCACTTTCTGGCTATGGATGATTGTCAGGCAAATGGAAGCCGTTGAAACTCACAGCGGGTATGCACACTCTCAACATTTTCATACAGTACAAACTGATTTATTCACTTACTATTTACATTCTATTTT